AAAAAAAAAAACACTTCAAAGCAGTCAAATTTTGTGTAGTTAAAACTGTGTAAAAGAAAAAAATATTACATTTTAGAAATTAAATTTTTATTTAAGCAACCAGGTATTAATAAAGAACATTTGTTTTGTTACAAATGTATACGTGGTGAAGCAAAAGAAGTGGTCGATGGTAGCGGAAAACTTGATCTGCTTGGAATTCCCTGTATGAGCGGCGACAGTTGTCCAAACGTCTTGTTCTGGAGTAAGATCTCTTGATTTCGGTCTTCAAACCTACAAGCATCATCATTCAGATGCACTTCTAAAGCAGTTGTCACATTTTGCAATTTTGTTTTGATAATCGCTTATCAATTTGAACTGCAAAGCCAATTGAAATAGGAGATAAACGTATCCTGACAGTTGACTGTAACATTTGGGAAAAAGCAGCACATGTTGAGAGGACAAGCTCAAGTTGCTCTATATAAAAGTGGCAAATTGTTGTTTATTGCGTAAATTTAGTGCTTTTAAAGATCGATTGAGAAAATTTTTTTTTAGATGATATTCGTAAAGCATTACCGAGTACATTAAAAAAACGACTAAGCGCAATGATACAGGATGCAAACTTACGTGCCAGTGGAATGGAGATTGAGAGGTGAATTAACATAGTATCATTTCAACATAAAAAAATTAAGCAACTTAAGACTGAAAGACGAAACAACAGTTTCTTTGTTAAGTGTAAAAATAAAAGTTAAAAGAAAATTTCAGTTGTAAAATTTGCGGTTTTTCGGGTATACCGGAACTACCGAAAGAACAGGATCAAATATTTCGATGTCCGGAGTGTGGAGCGCAGCACTGCAGGTAATTTTTCCTTATTGCAGTTATAGTGCCGCATTATATGCTGCTTTTTTTGCTTACACCAAACATAAATAGAAAAAGACTTTTCTATTAAGTCGCTAAATTACACCAATAGTACAGTCATTGTTCAAAATTAAAAATTTGAACAAAGGCGATTTCTACTCTTTTATCTCAAGAAAGAACTTCTTCAAAATTTTGAGGCGTTCAAATTGTAAAGACTTCTCAAGTATTCAAAACATCTTGTAAGCAGCTGCCGAACAAAAATTGTTTAACAGACTGTGTATGGAACAGTGGACTGAGGAACATCAAGGACGGCCCTGCGAGGAGGTAACAGATTTTGCCCTGCGACAGTAGTAAGTAAATTTATGGCACTATAAAAATTAAACAAACAGTTATCAGCCATTAATCTAAAAAAAAAAAGGAAGAAATAACATCTTTAAGATTATACTAAAAAAGTGTGATGTCTAAAATGACCGGAAATGTTATTTTATAAATAAAACTGTTAATAAGATAGAAATGTTTATTACTTAGACAAGAAATTAGAGTCTGTAGTTTACTACTGCACAAAATAACCCCTGAAAAAAATTATACTCTCTCAGTTTAGTGGCCCCGCTCTTTTTTCTGTCAGTCAAATCAACCAATTCTAATCGTAGTAAATACAGCTTTGTTTCACTATAACAAATGAGAAAGTTGGGATTACCAAGCTGAAAAATAGTCGAAAACTTTTACAGATAAATACTTCAACCATAGTAGAAGCTTTGTCTCTTTTGTTTGTTTTGCAAGAAAAATTTCTTGTTCACGGCTTCTTATTTGTGACTCACCGATTAGTTATCTTGTCGTCAAAGTGTTAGTCATATTTACTGCTAACAAATCCCAGCCTTAATAGTCACCTATTGTAGCCATGAAAAATTGACTGGTGCGGTTCTTCGTGTATGTGAACGTTGTGGACTAAGTTACGAAAAAAAAGATGGATGTAATAAAATTATCTGTCGATGCGGTGCCACATACTGTTATCTGTGCCGCCAAAAGGGCGTCACATACGATCACTTTTGTTCGTAAGTGACTATTAGCGACTGAATCTTTCGTAAAACAATGCCAACTTCTGCGTACTTTTTGGGTGGTGACTAAAAACGAAATTAATTAATAAGATCTTTTCAAAAGCTATTCAAGAATGGTTTTTTCCGCTTAAAAAGTTGTGATTAAAAACAGCATTAGCGGAAACTGATTGTGTCGAATTTTTTCGTGCAAAAATCATATCATTTATTCAGACATACAACTGAAGCGACACCCAGAAAATGCGAGATATGTAATAAAATTTGCCGCTTATGGGCTACGCCAACAAAATTTATCGGGAAAGAAATAGCTCGAATTAACGAGGAGGCACAAAGAAATCCCCAAATTGGTATTACTTATTATTTTTAAATATTTATTATCTAGATCCCTTAGAATAAAGTGACTTTGAGACGTTACGCTAAGCAGATCAAGCTGAAAAATTTGTTTTACAAAATGTAGCAGAAAGAAGTGGGGAAGTATCAAAGATACGAAGGTTACTGAAATTTGGTGACCATATATTGTCAATTTTTGCTCTATGAGGCTTCATTCTGTATTAACGACTTTTAACTTGATGCTTTCTTTACGTGGTGGAAAGTATTTAAAATCTTCAAATTCTTAGCCGATTTTCCAAAGTTAGCAGAGAGAAGCATTGTTAGCAGATCAAATTGAAGCTGTCTGCGTAATTGAAAATCCCTAAAACAGACATGACAAGTTAAAAGCAGTATTATTTTTTTTTTCAGCAAAACTGTTATTTCCCGCTACAGAACCGTCTACCAGTCAGCGGAAAAAGGGCTAACTTGACGCAAACTCTGCTTTCATAAAATTTTTTGAAAACAGATTTCTTTTGCAAAAGTTGATTATTGTGCATTAATAGTATGTCAATTTTGGTGTTAAGGTACTGTTTGACTTGCAATGCTTTTCAAGATGTAAAGTAAGTAAAAATTTAACTGTTACCGGTAAATTGTAAGGATAGAAGATTACATGTTCTGAGCGATTAACCACGTTGTCCGTAAACAGTTCAGACCAACAAATAAAAAGTTTTCTAAAAATATTTTACACAACATCAGTGATGTATTAAATTTTGTTAACTGAACGCAAATGCTGCTTAAATGACAATTGTTTCTTTATATCAGGGTAAGTTTACGGCTTTTTGACCGTCAATGTCACAGCAAAAAACAGATTTTTTTAGGCCATGACGCTTTTCATGTTCTCTCTTTTAATTGGTTGCACAAGTTTCAAGATACCTGTAACATTTGAAAACTATTATTTTTGAGTCGACCTCAGTGACGACAGGTCTCATTCTCATCTAGACAGAAAGTGGCTTACTGTCACTGAGAGCGAAGAAGCCTCTTTTGAAGTGGAGACACGACTGGTTAACATTTTGGAAGTATCAATGCCAGTAGTTACGAAAATGCCTTTGTTTCAGCAAATTAAACACAAATAAAGTTTTGGTTTTCTCTGAAGTTAACCATTCCACTTCAAAATAAGAGCTATTTGGTAGATATGCTGCTTTTAGAAATCTGTTTATAAAAACGCTGTACCAGTTAAGATTAAATTGTAAAGCAGCAATTTTACAGCTGGCTCTAGACATGTATTAAAATCTCTTG